ATTTCACCCATTCCCCTGCCCACCTCCCCTCTGGTAACCATAAGTTTCTTCTCTATAGTTAAGAGTCTGTTTTTTTGTCTCTTTTTTCCTTTGTTTTGCTTCTTAAACTCCACATATGACTGAAATCATATGGTATTTGTCTTTCTCTGATTTATTTCACTTAGCACTATACTCTCCTTTTTAAATGTAGTCTCTTAGGGCACCTGGGTGGCTCAGTCAGTTGAGTGTCCAACTCTTGATTTTGGCTCAGGTCATGATCCCAGGGTCTTGGGATCTGCATCAGGCTCTGTGCTGAGCATGGATTCTGCTTGGGATTCTTTTTCTACCTCTCTCCATCTGTCCCACTCCCCGACTTGCACTCTCTATAAAAAATAAAATAAATTAAAAAAATAAACGTAGCCTCTTTCTCCCTCTTCATTCTTTCTATAGTGTAATTTGTAGGAAATGTATTCATGACTCATCAGTGACTAATTTACATCACAGCTTTTGTGTTGAGATTACAGATCAAGATGTATTATACTAGAAGGAAGGTGGTAATAGTATTTCTATAAACAATCTGAGAAGTCTGTACAGGAAATAGTGGTATAGAAGGAAGCTTGCACATACAAGTTGCTCAATGAAATGTATTTCTCATGATGCATGTATAAAGATAATTGCAGTCTTTTATGAGGATAAAAATATGAGGAAATGAACACAACAAACATTACTCAGTAGTGTTTAATATTGAGGCAAAGGATAAACACTGAAGAGACAGAGAACAATAGGTGTAACTGAATGTGAGATTAACAAAAAGAAAATTTTACGATAAGTAGAAGGAATCTTTCCAAAAATAACAAGTCTGCTTGCTATTGGGAAATTGGACACTACCTGAGAAGACACATCTAGGGGAAAATCACACATGCACTCAATAGTTCTTTCACTTTTTGATCTCCATTTGTGTTACCAATGTATTTTGAAAGAAAATGGGGGATAGCATAAAAATCTTTAGAAATAACATGGGGCGCCTGGGTGGCACAGTCAGTTAAGCGTCCGACTTCAGCCAGGTCACGATCTCGCAGTCCGTGAGTTCGAGCCCCGCGTCGGGCTCTGGGCTGATGGCTCAGAGCCTGGAGCCTGTTTCCAATTCTGTGTCTCCCTCTCTCTCTGCCCCTCGCCCGTTCATGCTCTGTCTCTCTCTGTCCCAAAAATAAATAAACGTTGAAAAAAAAATTAAAAAAAAAATAACACTAATATTCCTATTATGAATCTAAATATGTAATTATTTCTATAACATTACTTTCAAAATGTATTTGCAATATTAAAGGTAAACAAAATATAAAGAATAATGCAGCGAACATCCACACCTCTCAGCTAAACAAATGAAGTACTACCATAGTAATAGCTCTATATAACTATTCTAGTCACATCATTCTCCCCCTCTCCCTTCTGTGACTCTTGATCATGAGTTCAAGCCCCACGTTTGGTACAGAGTTTACTTAAAGAGGAAAAAAAAAAAAAAAGGAATAGTATCCAGCAATAAAAAGAAATGAATATTGGGGCACCTGAGTGGTTCAGTTGGGTTAAGCACCCAACTCTTGATTTTGGCTCAGGTCATGAGACTGTGGTTCATGGAATTGAGCCCCAGAGTCATGCTCTGTGCTGACAGCACCTGCTTAGGATTCGTTCTCTCTCCCTCTCTTTCTGCCCCTCCCCTGCTCACATGCTCACTCACTCTCTCAAAATAAATTTTAAAAAGTATTTAATAATAATAAAGGAATGAGGGGCACCTGGGTGGTTCCGTTGGTTAAGCATCAACTTAGGCTCAGATCATGATCTTACAGTTTGTGAGTTCAAGCCTCATGTGAGGCTCTGTGTGACAGCTCAGAGCCTGGTGCTTCCTCTCTCTCTCTGTCCCTTCCCTGCTTGTGCTCTCTCAAAAGTAAATACACATTATTTGAGAGAGAGGGAGAGAGAGAGAAAGAGAAGGAGGGAGGGACAGGCAGAGAGAGACAGAACCTGAAGCAGGCTCCAGGCTCCTAGCTGCCACCACAGAGCCCTATGTGGGCCGAACCCATGAACCGGGAGATCATGACCTGAGCCAAAGTTGGACATTCAGCCGCCTGAGCCACCCAGGTGCCCCTAAATAAATAAACATTTTTTAAAAAAAAGGAATGAATATCTATACACATAACAATATGTATGGATCTCAAGATTATACTGAGTGAAAACAGCCAATCTCTAAATGTTATACACTGTAGGATTCCACTTACATAATGCTCTTTTTTTTGTTGTTGTTAAAAGTCGGGGAGTGCAAGTGGGAGAGAGGGGCAGAAGAAGAGAGAATCTTAAGCAGGCTCCATGCTCAGTGCAGAGCCCGACACAGGGCTTGATCCCACAACCCTGGAATCATGACCTGAGGGGAAATCAAGAGTCAGATGCTCAACCAACTGGACCACCCAGGCATCCCCATAATACTCTTGAAATGACAACATTAAAAAGCTAGAGATACATTTAATGATTACCTAGGATTTGGTGGTGTTAAGGGATAGAAAGTGAGGTGATTATGACTATAAAAGGGTAGCACAAGAGATTCCTGTGATGGAACTGTTCTGTATCTTGACTGGTGGTGGTCACATGAATCAATACAAGTGATAATATTGCATAGAACCGAATACACATGCATATACACACACGATTGTATGTAAAACTTGTAAAATCTGAATAAGATTGGTAGATTGTGCCAATATTGATTTCCTGTTTATGATACTGTGCTATGGTTTATGCATGAATTTATCATTGGGAGAAACTGGGTAAAGAGAAATGTATGTGATCTCTCTATTTCCCATAACTCTATGTGAACCTATAATTATTTTAAAATAAAAAGTTAAAAACAATTTTGCTGTATAAACAAAGCCTAATCCAAACACCAATTCCATTTATAGAAGTCCTAGGAGAGGCAAAACTAATCCATGATAGAAAAAAAAAAATGACAGAGCAATGGTTATTTTCTGGGCAAAGTTTTGTCTTGAGAGGGATATGGGTGTATGCTATTAAAAAGAAGACAACAAGCCCCATATTTGACAAGATTTGTCAAATCTTGTGCTAAGCCCCACGTCACCAAACTGAGGCTTAATTACAGTTTTGGCTCTCCCAGAAATGGAATTGCCTGTTCAGCACTACTTCAGTAATCTGCCTGAAACACCCCTAAAGGAAAGTAAGCTTGCAATAACCAACTCCCCCCCCTTTTTTTTTTTTGCCTAAAATAACTTCCTTGTTCACTCTCCCTCTGGCTATAAAAGTCTTTCATTTTCGTATAGCAACTCAGAGCTCCTTTGTATCTACTGGATTGGATGCTGCCCAATTCAAATAGATTTTTGCTCAAATAAACACTTAAAATATTTTATATGCCACAGTTTATCTTTTAACAATGTTTATATTGGAACTCAAGGAATGGTACAGTTGTTTATGTCTTTGTAGTTAATGAACAGCATGCTGAAGTTGCGTATACATATTCGTGTATTATAGTTAATATGCACACTGAAGTATTTTGGGGGAAGTGTACTAATGTCTGCATCATGCATATCTTTGTAATGCATCAAAAGAGACAGGTTGTGGGGTGCCTGGGTGGCTTGGTCAGTTGAGCGCCCAACTCTTGATTTTGGCTCAGGTCATGATCCCAGGTTCATGGGATCAAGCCCCACATGGGGCTTTGTGGTGAGCATGGAGCCTGTTTGGGATTCTCTCTCTCTCTCTCTCTCTCTCTCTCTCTCTCTCTCTCTGTCTCTCCCCCGCTATCCCCTCTCCACAGCTTGTGCTGAAAGAGAGAGAGAGAGAGAGAAAGAAAGAAAGAGAGAAAGAAAGAAGAAAGTTGATAGATATTTGATAAAATCAGTTTTATTATTATTATTATTTATTTTATTATGTGGTAGAGTGGGTATATGGATACTCACTATAAATTCTTTTCAACAAGGCCGAGGCAAGGGGCTGCCTTCTCACAGCGTCAACAGCCCGTACACTTTTTTCTTCCGGTACATTTTACTCTTGAGTTCTTTTTCACAGCTTCCACAGAGTCCAAAAGGGCGAACGCTGCGGGCCTTGACTCTGGGGAGCTGCCGCGCCAGCGCCCAAGCTTTGCTTTCACAAGATTGGGCTAGGCGGGCTGCCAGACTGCCTATCTCTCCGGGACACCATGTGACGTGGGGGGAATGACTTGCATTTCTAATAACATAAGGCTACAGACTATGAGTTCAAAACAGGGGCTTATCTCAGTCGAACCAACCGCCGGCCTTCAGGGTCTAGCTCTCCCCCAAACCCCTCCCATAGCAAGGGCTCCACACCACCTTCCAACAGAAGGCGCAACCGGAAGGGGAGGGCCTCCCGCCCGGACGCGGGGCTCCCGCTATCATGGCTTCTCGTGGGGTCGTTGGCATTTTCCTCTTCTCTGCTCTCCCCCTCTTGTGTGTAGAGCTCCGGCGTGGGATCCCGGATCTAGGTAACTGTTGACTTTTTCCTTCTGACGCTCGCATCCGCGTAACTATCCCATGAATGTTGCGTAAGGTTCCAGTCTCAGGGCCACGTCGCCTCCGGGCGGCTTAGACTACGACTCCCAGGCTGCATAGCGCCTTCCTCTCTTCCGGCGCCGGGGCCCCACTCCAGGGAGCAAGACTCTCAGAGCTTTGAGGAGGCTGACTCCTCTTCGCGGAGAAAGTGTCTTTCCAGTTTTGTGTGCAAGGAGACAGAAGCTGGCAGAAAGCACAGGAACATATGTAGACACTAACTTTCATATTGTTTTGAACGCTCACAAGGAAACAGGTGACGTGATGTAGGCCTTCTGAGGAATTTAAGCAGAGATTTAAATTATACGAAGCCTGGGCCAAAAACATTCTAGACCAAAGGAATTGACAAATTGGAGAAAAAGGATGAAGACCACTGTGGATGGATCAGGAAGACTAAAGGGGAGAGTGGATCGAGTTAATAACATTCACTGACCACCTCTTATAAACCTAACTCTAAGTGCTGTTTATTCATTATTTCTTCCAGTCTGTATTATAACCATGGTGTGGGTGGGGTATAATCCCCATTTTACACTTGAGGAAACTGAGATTTAGGGAGGGTTATTGGAGGGGCGCCTGGCTGGCTCAGTCAGTAGAGCATGTGACTCATGATCTTGGGATGGTGAGTTCAAGCCCCACTTTGGCCCTAGGGATTACTGGATAGATGGATGGATGATGGATGCAGATATAGATAGATAGTCGCTGGATTCTGTGGAGGGTGTTTTGGAGGGAGGCTGTAGTGGAAGCAGTGGAGCAAGTGAGGCTCTAGAAGTAGACAAGTAGTGATGATGGCCTGGACTAGGATGATAACAGCGATGGAGTGTGCACAGATTTGGGATATTTACAAAGTAGAATCCACAGGATTTGTGGATGGATTAATGTTTGGGTGAGGGAAAGGAGGGATTCAAGGATAACTCCTTCAAGTGAATTTGAACAACCCTAAGTACTTGGTAGTGCCCGGGATAAAAGGGAAACTGAGAGGAAAATGGTGGGCCTGTGGAGAATCAGTCCTTTTTTGGATATATTAGTCATGGGTTTACATGCATGTCTCCCTTATACTCATTTCTAAAGTTTGAGATCCTGATGAAACTTAGCTTTGTATATTTCCTCTCTCCCTACTCAGGTACTTGGAAATGTTGCTTGAAATGACTTAAAATGCTTTTTTAAAAAATCTTCAAAGTCCTTTTAGAAACTTCCTACTCACTCAGTCTATATAGGAATCTAACAAGACCTTTATCCAAATGATATACAGAAATGTTAAATTCACGCTTATCTAGTCCAGAATTTACATGCTCCCCCCCTTGTCTTTTCAGCATCCACCTCTGCTCTGTTAATTTAGAATCTCTTCTTTGCACTAACGTTTAAGTCACTGATCAATGAGAAGATAGTTACGGAAGGTTGCAGAAGGAAATCTCACATAATCAGCTCTGACAACAGGAGAATACGCTTTTTGAAGGCAGAGACCACATCTAATCTGTTTTTGTGTTCCCATCAAATATCACAATGCCTATTTTATTTATTTTTTAATTTTTTTTCTTTTTTAAAATAGGCTCCATGCCCAATTGGGGGCTTAAAGTCATGATCCCAAGATCAAGAGTCACATGCTCTACCGATTGAGCCAGCCAGGTGCCCCGACAATGTCTAATTTAATAAAGCAGGCCAAAAATTCTAGAAAATGCAACTGGATTCCTGGTAGCATCTCCATCTAGTTCCTGGTTTTTTTTTACTTAATTCCTTTCTCCTAGAAACCTCTCAGTTGTGAACTGATGGTTGTTTACTTTGGTTTCTTTTTTTTTTTTTTTAAGATTTTATTATTATTATCTTTTTTTAAGTTCATTTTATATATTTTGGGAGGGAGGGAGAGAGTGTGAGTGGATGAGGGAAGAGGGAATCCCAAGGGAATCAAGGGAGAGAGGGAATCCCAAACAGGCTCTGTGCTGTCAGCGCAGGGCCTGACAAAGGGCCTGATCCCACGAACCAAGAGATCATGACCTGTGCCCAGATTGAGTTGGACCACTGACTCAACCACCTAGGCACCTCTATTACTATTATTTTTTAAGAAGTCTCTACACCCAATGTGGGGCTCAAACTTAGAACCCTGAGATTAAGAGTCTCATGCTCTGTCAGCTGAACCAGCCAGGTACCCCTGCTTTGCTTTCTTGATATTTGTTTTCCAGATATCCAGTAACAGTATATACTTATAGATACTTTTAGCTGGGGCTGCTAATTGGAAAACTAGAATTCCTAGACCCATTCATTCAACTGGGCTGTATTTTTGGACAAACATTGAAAAATGGTTCCTATCTTTTTTCTACTGTGTAAAAGCCTTCATTGTCAGTACATTTTTACTTGTACTTAAAGCTAAATATTTTATTAAAAAAATTTTTTTAATGTTTATTTATTTTTGAGAAACAGAGAGACAGACAGAATAGGAGCAGGGGAGGGGCAGAGAGAGAGGGAGATACAGAATCCAAAGCAAGCTCCAGGCTCTGAGCTATCAGCGCAGAGCCCGTCTCGGGGCTCTAACTCCCAGA